TGAAATGCTGAGGATGAGAAGAACCGATTTCAGACAGAACATGTGAAGTACAGACAACAATAACAATAAAAATGCAGTTAAAATAAGATTAGTGTATAACACAAGGACAAAAGACAAAGATGAACAACGAACAAGGAAACACAAAGATATGAAAGACACTAAATACTCACGACATAAACAAATCAAGGATGCATAAAAGACATAAAGGCTCATGAAGAAGCAAAACGGATGCACACAAATAGAAAAGAGCACAGTTTTTCACAAAACTTACAAGTTCTTTAATTTTAATGAGGAAAAAAATGATAAATAGCTACAAAATTTTAAAATAAAGTTACAAAAACTGAACATCATAGCTGCAATGATTTGATACCTGATGGGCTGTCGTAGCTGAGGGGAGTTGTGGCGCAGAGGTTAGAGAAGGTGGGCCTGTGATCGGAAAGTCGCCAGTTCGACTCCCCGAACAAAATGCGAGTAGGAAAGGTGAAGCACCCACATCTGCCTCCACCCTCATTTCCCCCACTCTGGGCCCTTGAGCAAGGCCCTTAACCCCCACCATCTGCTCCCCCGGGCACCCTAGTCGGCAGCTCCCTGCTCCACACAGAGGGCTGGGGTAGCTCGGTGGTCTGTGGTTGCACCAGGAAGGGCATCCGGCGTAAAAACAATCGCCAAATCTTGATGCGATTTAGTTGACTGTGGCGACCCCTGAGGAAGCGAGCAGCCAAAAACAAAAAAATTAAAATAGCTGTAGTAGCTGAAAGTATGCTGAAGTGTTTAGTCAAAATATCCATTACCTTCAGCTTGTTCCAGAGTCGGGTGGCAGAGGCAACAGCTTGTGCATGGAGGCCCAGACATCTTTTCCAGCTCTTCTAGAATTCCCAGATGTAGTCTGTCCAGCGTGTCCTGGGTCTTCCCCGGGGTCTCCTCCCAGTCGGACATGCCTGAAGCACCTTCCTAGGGAGGCGCCCAGGGAGCATCCTTACCAGATGCCTGAACCACCTCCACTGGCTCCCATCTATGGAGAGAAGAAGCAGCTGTACTCAAAGTCCCAGCTTACTGAACTTCTCACCCTACCTCAAAGGGAGAGTCCAGCCACCCTGTGGAGAAAACACGTTTCAACCACTTGTGTCGGTGATCTCATTCTTTTGGTCACTACTCAACGTTAGTGACCGTAGGTGAGGGTACGAAGGTAGACTGACCGGTTAACAGAGCTGCTCCTTGCATCTCAACCCACCGGATCGGCACAGTCCACAATACTGTGGACGTCGCACCGATTCATCTGTCAGACTTTAATCAAAATAATGTACAGGAAAACAGCAGTGAATGCTGATTCAGCATATTATTTTACTAACGGACAGAGTTGACTCCAGTAGTCTGTGGTCATATTTTAAGCAATAATCTTGCCTGGTAAGTTTCTGCTCAGTGTGTGTGTGTTGGGGATCGCTGCACATCAACGTTAGGGTCGTTATCTATAAGTTGTTGATAGTCAGTTTTGTGTTGCTTACTGTGGCAGCCATCTTTATTCAAGTTGACTCCAAAAGCTAATCCGTTGCAGATGTACCTCCTAAGATTACTTTCTGCAAGTTTTAATACCGTTTGTGGAGAGGTTCTTGATTCATTTTGGTAAAAAAAAAAAACATTTGCCCACAGATTCAAGTACTTCACTTTATGGCAGTGAGCAATGATTTGATAAGTTTTATGGATTTTAATGAAGATGGATCTTTAAGGTCTTTAAGAGAAAATGGCAAAATTACCTGTAGGAGGTGATGCCAGGACTTCCTCCGGTTGACTTGGAAGGACACAAGTGGCAACAACTAGATTTTTTTTTTTATGGGTACTCCTGCACCTTTTTTCCCTCATCATCCATTTGTTCCATCTGCAGGGTAGTTTGCCACATCAGCTGTTCTCCATATATGCAGCTATGACCCCTGAAGGAAACACAATCCTGGATGCGATCATGTGTTTGGGTGCACACGCACGCACAAAATGCCTACATGCTGATCTCGCACTGATCGGATTCTGCAAACTCAACCAACACGATCAGCTTCCATTAATAACACCATATTCATAAATTTAGTTTGATCGTCCTGTTTTTAATCGGACACGCTTACACCACTTGTGTCGTATTGGGCAAGTTCTTTTCAAACATTAGTGGAGCTGCTGAACGGGTCTCAGAAATGGCGAGTGTGAGCTGAGGTTTGATGTTGTAGAAGTTGAGACGAGGCATTCCCGACACGTACTCCTAGCATTAATGGATCACGCAAGATCTTTGCTTACAAGATTTGCCTCCTGCTGTCAGAGTGTCATAAACACCGATGTCAGGACTTTAATGAGATTCACATTTATCCTACAAATGGTTGTATTTCATAACTGATAAGTGTATATTCAGATATCTTTGAGTCAACAAACTGCGTTCACCTTTTTTGTCTCCAAAGCTGTATGTAGTCTTGCATGTTTTTTCCACGTCACTCTGAGTTAGGTGGCCTTTTTTATTTACACTTAAAAAAAAAAAAAAAAGGTGGCCCAAGTCTCGTTCAAGGTGTGAAATTGCCCCCTGAAAATGACTTGACATGGACTTGTTATGGCTGCTGAAGCGTCGTGAAAATGTATTCTCAAAGTGAATATGTGGAATTTTCAACCTTTTCATTGTGTGTTGTGAAACGCTGACCCTCGGGCCGGGCGGCTGTGAAACAAATGACATTAACTTGCTCAAAGAGGGATCGATTTCACAGCTTGTTGAACAAATTACACATGTGAACTTGTGACAAAATGAATAGTTGAGGTTGTTCACTTTGTTGTTTGGTCACTCAGGGTTACAGGATGAGTTTGTGGTTCTTAGTTGTATCTTTATAATCATCGTGGCTTGTAAGAATTTCTAAAACTATTTGATTTTTTTAAAATTTCTGCACTCATTAGAGGTTGACGATCCTTGAATTTTCAAAAACCAATGCTGATATTTAGTACGTGAAACAGCCAATGACACATAGAGCTGCTTTGTTGTTTATGTTTGGTTTGTTATTGCAGCAGTTTGTTTGATACACTTACCAATCAACTAGATTTTATAAAACGAATCAACAAATAGAAATAATTTGCCTAAATTCTTACTACACGGCTTTTAATGGTCTGTAGTGGCACCACCATTGGGGGCCGAGATGGTGTAGAGGCAGGGCAGCCGACTCAGGACCCAAAGATCCTGGGTTCGATCCCCAGTCATTGCACATCTCGCTGTGTCTCTGAGCAGGACACCTCATCCCCAGTTGCTCCCTGGGTGTTCCCAATAGCCGTCCACTGCTCCACCTGGTGGTAGATGGGTCAAATGCAGAGAGCCAATTTCGCCTTTGTATGGGAACATACATGGATGACAATAAAACATTATTATTTTTAAAATAAGAAAATATGAGAAGAGAACTTTATTGATCCTGCAGGAAATTGTTGTGCCAGAGTTTCAATACAAAGGAAATTACACAAGGAATCACACAAGATATACAGTATATAAAAAGCAGATAATAAAAAAAAATCACACAATATAAAAATACTAGGTCTGTCATGATAACAAATTTTGCTGGGCCATTAATTGTCTCAGAAATTATTGCGATAAACGATAATATTGTTTGAAATTTGACAATAATTAGTGATTATTGTAAAATTTAAGAAGGAATATTTAATTTATTTTGAGTGTAATGCTTTTCTTTGACCACCGGACGGCAGTATAAGACTGTTTGAACCGAAGGATGGATAGTGAGGGAGCGAGCAGCATGTCTCTAAGAAAAATAAGAGGGAGGCCCCTTGACGTGACATGGGTCATCTCTTTTCGGTTCTCAAAATGGCAGACGCTCGGTGTGGTTTGAGCTCTTTAGCATAGCATTTTCACACAAAGCTTTTAATTAAAAACAATATCAGTAAACAAGTTCTCAGCTTGTTTTTGCAGAGAAAAACAACGTATTACATGAAGGCACGAGTTCCAACCGAGAATTCTGGAGCTTCGACAAGACGGAGGTTTATTCCCAAGGTCGGCCTGTTAGCTTAGCTCGTAGCTTAGCTTCTCAGCCTAGCTGCTTTTAACGATCCAAAAACGCGATTTTGGACAGCTAAAATAAATTTTAAAGAGAAAAGAGAAAGGGAGGGGTCAGTGAAGAGCACCAGAGTCGAGTCTTTTGTCATCCAGTGTCTTCAGTAGAAAGAGAGAGACGCGAAGAAACGATAAAGCCAATAAATGAAAATGAGGTTGATAATTTTCATTTATCATGCGATTAATTGATTTATTGTTTATCACGACAGGGCTAAAAAATACCAACCATTAAGGTTTAAAACAGGTCAAATAATTTAACCCTCTCAGTATATAAAAGGAAAGCCATGGTATTTTTCTTGGTACATTTAACATCTTGTAAAAAGTATAACATTTCTGGTCCACTTTCTTTGGGCTTTTCTTGGTGTTGTACCAAAAAACGCACCCCTGCCATCAAAGGCACGTCCATCTTTGGATGCCCTTGAGTGAGATGAGGTTGTAATGTCGCACGTAACAAACCTGGTCATTGGTTTAGCATGCTCAGACCTGGGACACTGTTTAAAAATATATAAAATCGGCTAAATTGTGGGCGGCCGTGGTGCAGTGGTAGTGGCAGCCGACCTCTGATCGGAAGGTTGGAGGTTCGAATCCCGACTTCCCACACCATGTGCCGTTGTGTCCCTGGGCAAGACACTTAACCCCGAGTTGCTCCCGGTGGGACTGGATGGCGCCTTGCATGGCAGCCTACCGCCACCGGTGTATGAATGTGCGTGTGAATGGGTCGATGGCTGGTACTGTAAAGCGCCTTGGGGCCCCTCATAGGGGGCTGGAAGGCGCTATAGAAGTAAGCTCCATTTACCATTTACCATTTAAATAATCAGCTTGTTTTGTCTTAAATATCCTGTTTGAAACAAACTAAAACTTTAAAGTGCTTTCTTTGTTTCAGATAAAGCCGGAGTTCACTCTGATCTTTTCTTCTTCTTCTTTCCCCCTTCAGGACAACTATACATTTGCTCAGCCAGGCATTCAGAGGAAAGTCAAGGCCCTGGAGGAGCTGGTCAGCAGAATTGATGGTGAGTTATCTACCTGCTTTTACCCATCTCTTCACCCTGCAGCTCTTTGTTGTCAATGCCTCCATTTTCCATTAACTTGATTATTTTAGGACTGTTTCACCTATTTTCTATCAGTTCTTATTATTTTATTGTATTTATCATTCAACTGTTTTTCTGTCAACTGTTGTGCACAGTTAAATTTTAAGTTTTGTGATCCTCTGATGGTTTGATATGATTTTTTGGGGTAATTGTTCAGTCTTTCTTTGAATCTTTAAACCTCCAGTCTCCCTCACCACCTGACCTGTTCTGCTCTGATCCCTGCTCCTATCCCCCGTGTCCACACTTGAATCAGTTACAGTTTGTCCCATAATAAGTCCAGTGTGTCTTTCACCCATAAAGGACTAATTACTATAGCTCACGTATCAGCACATTAGTTAATTTATAAACAGGTAAAGCATCTCAACAATGGCTATTTCATCTGCTATTTTATTATTTAGGACTGTTACTTTGTTTTAGCTTAAAAATACAACTATCAAGTTTATTCACCGTAAGTCCTGCAGCTGAAAAATCCCTCCACTGAAACAGAGGCTTCAGGTACAGAGACATGTGCTGCTGCTAATTCTGCTAGCCGAAGATCTTCTTATTCCTGCGTTGTCACTAGTCCAGTGGACACTGGGATGATCAGTTGTGCTTTTCCACATTTTTTCACATGAGATCGGTGTCATTTTTATTAAAAGCACAGTTAAAAAAAAGTCAAATTATAAAGGTATTAATTCTTCCAATTAGTCCATTTTAACTAAACTTAAAATATTTAAAAAATCACTGCCCATCCCTAAAAACTACAATTCTAGTTTGTTTTTGTTGCCTTGGTATCTTACGGGAAAAACTGTCTTTGATTGAATGTTTTTGTGTATTTATATTGTTTTTGCCAGTCTGAATATGAATAATCTTGTGTGTGTGTCGGATCAGACCCAAGTTATTTTCACATGTGGCCTTCAGTCAGAAACGTATCTAGTGTCTGAACAGTCGTGTCACATTTAATCATATTTGTGTCTTTGAAGTAGGAGTATGCTGATCGGTCCAAATATTGGTATTATCTAACATCATATTATGTTGCTATATTGATATCAGTGTATCAACATATTGATATCACTATATCATCATATTGATGTCAATATATCACCATATTGATATCGGTATATCAACATATTGATATCAATATATCATCATATTGATATCAATATATCATATTGATATCAATATATCATCATATTGATATCAATATATCATCATATTGATATCGGTACATCAACATATTGATATCGGCACATCAAGATATTGATATTGGTATATCAAGATATCGATACCGCTATAGCAAGATATCGATATCGGTATATCAAGATATCGGTATATCAACATATTGATGTAGTGAACTAAGCCTGAGGTCAAATTCTGACCTTAAGGACCTTATGGGACAGAAACTGTCATTTCATTGATTTGAATCCAGAAATACAGGTTGACCCATCCTGAGACTTTCTTTCTTGAATTGATCAAGTGAAAGAACACTATTTTCTATTATCATTGCTATTTTACAAATGTTTGATAATCAAAGTGTTTTTAGTTCAAACCATTTTTAGATGTTGCAGTGAACTAATCATTTTTAATTCAACTGTGAAACACTAATAATGATTTTAATCCTCATGCAAAGTATAAATCATGTTAAGGTCTGTTACAGAGTAATTATGCATTTTCTGATTTTCTGTCTTTGAATGAGCAAGTGTAAGCTGGTCCAAGGTTGGAGTCAAACGCAAAACAAGTTGTTGGAACGAACTGTCATGTTTTTAAAATCCTCTCAGACGTAAATATAGAGGCTGGCACCTGTTTTCCCCCAACTCGTCTAAATATTCCTCTCGTCTGTCTGAAAAACATTTTCAATCTGTTCCATAACATTCTTGCTGTTTTTCTGACTCCTAGTGACCTCTTACGTCACAAAAACACACCCCTGTCTGGTCGAAACGACCAATCAGGAAACTCCCAAATGAACCGGAAATAGAGCTCTTTAAATGTCGGTACTTCCTAGTTCTACCCAGTCGAGTCGGGTGGAGAGTTTGCAGCTCCAGTCGTTTGGGAGAACAGAAGTCCAGCATGATCCAGAGCTCTTCCGAGTCTTGTGGGGATTATGACATCTTCCACCTCTGAGTGGAACTTCTGAAGGACTCGACTCATGTGAAGTCCACTCGTGAGGTGAACTGTTGTTGATGAAGTCCCGCCACCACTCCGGACGGTTCTCTGCCATCCTACGGAGACGCTGGACCGGTAGCTTAACTGGAGCTCCGTTTCCACTGATTCATCGTCAGAGAGGTAATGAGTCGAGTTCACTACCGAGCGTACCGAGGAAAGCTGGGTTCGAATGGAGGGTGCCGTTCTGTTCAACACTTTTCACTCACACACACCATCTCCCTCCCTCTAAACTTCATCTTTCCATCTTTAAACTCTTCTATCTGCTAGCAAATCATTCCAGATATTTTTAGAAACATCTGTTGTGAAGAGAGAAAACCATCGCCGTATGGTTAATCAAATTGTACAGCTTGCAAAATTAGCCATGTTGTTGTTGAAATCATTTTGCCAAATTAATGTAAATGTGTGATGTGTTTAAATCGTTTTTAAATAAATGACCCACTGTCGTTGGTGAGTCAAAGATAAACACGTTTCCGTCCACATTTAATTAAATTCAATGCACGTTATTACTCAGTCCAGAAAAATGAAAGAATCCGTTTAATTTATGAATATATACTGCATATGTTTGTCTACATTCTGGCGGCCCGTACGTTTATTCTACATTGATATCGGTATATCAACATATTGATATCGGTGTATCAACATATTGATATCGGTGTATCAAGATATTGATATCAGTGTATCAACATATTATCAATGTATCAACATATTGACATCAGTGTATCAACATATTGATATCGGTATATCAATATATTGATATTGGTATATCTACATACTATCAATATATCAACCTATTAATATCAGTATTTCAACATATTGATCTTATTACTATCATGAAATTTAAAGCTCAGAACTATGTGCTGTCATTCATAAAAGTCCAGTTTTTCTTTCTTTTGTTAGTTTCTTTTGTTCTTTCTTTTTTTTTTTTTTAGATATTCCAACATATGATGTTAACGTTAGTGTTGGATCGTATCGATAATTTTATGATGGGATTGATAATTTTCTTTCTACTTTCAGTACATCTTTCCTTTTTCGGACGTAGAAAGATACAATGCAATGGATGTGGTTGTACAACAACTTTAGGATGCTAACTTGTTTAGCATTCATATTTGCTTTTGTGCGCATGCGCGTCGCTTCAGGGCTGAAGACTGGAGTCTAAAAGACCGTACAACAAAATCACATTTGAGCACTAAATTGGAATTGGGCATAAACACCTGCTGTGTGAATGTAGCTCAATATTTTATTTTCCATTGTTGAACTTTGCAGAACTTTTGTCAGATCGTAATTACATGACTCTATAACCGGGTCACTTTCTTTCTGCTCGGCTGTGTGGAAATATGTCTGTGGGCGTGTAATATCAGTTCAAAGGTGATTCTTGCTGAGGCCTTAGAGTTAATTCATGCACGATGAGTGGACTCATACACAGCCCAGTTACATTTCACACACATACCATCAACTCTGATAATTACCAAAGCTGTTTTTCTTTCTGCATCTCGTTGTTTTTTTATTTCTTCCCCAATAAGTTTTAAAAACCTGCTCATTTTTAAGTTTCACTTTAAACATGAAAGGCATATGCAGCTGTACATAATGCGTTGTGCAAAACGAGGTCTGATCGCAGCAAGCTTCTGTACAGTGGTCATGTTCTCAGCTGACCTTGATACTGTCCCACTCTCCTGTCACCCGCTCTGTCAGCCAGAGGGTGAGGAGGAGTCACCCGCTGCATTTAAATGGACGGGGGAGAACGTTTGTGTGTGTGTGAATGCAGGAGAATGAATGTCAGCCAAAGTCAGTGGGTGTATGCAGGTCCATCTGACACACATGCACCACCGCCCTGAAATTTTTTAGACACTACCCGCAGGAGCTGTACGTCCAAAACAGTCAGAGACGACACGTGTGGACTTCACCCTGCCAGGTCTGTCAAACAAAACAAAAAAAAAGTCAGGTGCTGTCGGTGACCGACTAAAGCGAGTAATCATCCGGAGAATACTCGGTGTGTGCTGGCTAATGAGGTTTGCAGCTATACATCGTTATGCTGTCTTAATTTCTCACCACTGTTCAACCATTATTGCGATGTGACGTTTATTTTATTATAACAGGACTGAAATCTTAAAGCAGAGAATTTTTCATTTTCATTTCTTGATAAATTGTTGTTTTAACAATATTTAATCAAAATAGGTTGATGTATCAAAGCAGTTTGTTGTTAATGCTGGTGATTGTACACATGGGGTGGTAGACAGGGCGCTCGGTTCTGTTGATGGCGGAGGTGATGTAATGGTAGGGGAAACACTGAATTTATAGTTCAAATCGATAAAATGAACTATAATCTTTCCACCAAACCCACTTCAAAACATTTAGACTTCTCCTGTAAGCCATGCACCATGTTCAAGTTCATGTAACACCGATGTCAGCAAGAACACCAGGAACAGAAGCAAAGCCTGTCCGCCTCATCCGCACCTCACAACACCCTGCAATGACATAAAAAATGATCTAGTGTTTTTATTGTATCTTCTATAAGTGCCCTGTCATCATAGCTGGGTGCAGAGACATTTTATACCTCGCTAGCTTGACATTACCAGCTCTAATGAGATCACAGATACCTCTTATCTCGAATTACAGGATTGTTTTTCGCCCTGCTGTCGACATAGCATCTGTTCTGGGAACAATAGCCACCTATCTCTTCCAAAATTACCTATCAGCACTTATCAGATGCGGGTTTATTCACAGTCTTTTGTTTTGATAAAAAGTGAGGGTCTCTCTTCTTATAGCAGGTGGATTGTAAGTGG